CGCACCTGCGACATGAGGACCAAAGGCCGGCCTGGCCAGGCGCACTCCTGCCCAGCTTCCCCGTGCCTGTTCTTCTGGGCAGTTCTCCGGAGGATGCAGGACGCCAGTCTGGGCAACGCCCTGCCCTCTGAGAACGCCCTGCCTCGGGGACACTCTTCCTCGCTTGTCTTCCCCCAGAACTTGAGGCCAAGGTGTGGCTGGGGCCACATACTGGATTCCGCTGTGACATTCAGGATGGAGTCCAACCCAGACTCCCTCTGAAGACGTCACTTTCATCTGAGATGTTCAGCTGCCAGAAGCTACCCTCTCTGCCGTGGTCTTCACACCTTCCAGGGATGTGACCGTAGCAAGCACTAACACTGATTGGGAGTTTACTACGAACCAGGCACGGTGCCAACGGCTCCCAACTACTGTTTTCCTCACGCCCATCACAACCCAGAAAGGCGCACAGTATTACTGCCATCCCCAAGACAGCCACGGGGAAGTTCAGCGACTTGCCCAAGGTTGCCCAAGGTCAGAAGGGAGTGAAAGGAATGAATTAAAATGCAAACGTTTGTCTACCAAATGCCAAAGCCTTCCCGACCACTACAAGTAATTTCCCAGCACCCACCCGATAAGGGAGACATCGGAGAATGCCATCACTCCTCGAGGAGGCAGCAGGAGGAGGGAGGTGGCATGTTCTCGGCTGACGCGCAGCAAGCCCCAAGCCCGCAGACTTCCCAACGGCGCTTCTGCTGGGCTTCCATTGTCCCTGCCTCTCCGTGTAAGTGATCGTTTGGAACTTCTCCCAGACGGTGGTCCTCGCTGTCCAAGAAATTCAGAGGGGCTGGGATGTCACATATGACCTGGTTGTAGCTTCCTCCGAGGCCATGACATCTTATGCATGGCTTGCCTGCCTCTTCTCCCTTTCTGGATGGGTGGTGCTGGCTTGCTGCAGCACATATCCCAAGCCCTTCCACCAGCCCTCTCTTCTTTTCTTCCCAGGCCAGCAGGGGCACAAGGCTGCCTCCTGGGGGTGAGCACATCTTATGTCATGATTGGGCAAGAGAACAATCAGCATGGCACGTACACAGTAGATCCAGGATACCAGGCCAAGCAGAGGTGCAAGGAAAGGGAGAAAGAAGCAAGGCGGGCATCCCCAGGCCAACAGCACCAGAGTCAGCACATGAAGCTCACTGCCCCTTGCCCCTCTGACTTCACCTTGAACTCACACCAGCCTTTCTAACCAGCTTAGGGGGTATGCCCAAAGCCCTGCTGATCCTACAAACCTTGTCCATGAAGGATGGGCACCCAGGGCTGCCAAGGCCTCTCAGGGCCCAAGGTGCCCTATGATCTCCCAGTAAATTAGAAAAAGGTGAAGAAATGCTCAAACAGCTACAAACGTGCGATGCATTCCACAAGTTTGGGTTGAAGAAATGAGAATGTGCAACACGATGGGAATACAGTGCTGATGTAGGTGCTGGTCCTACGAGATTAGAAGAATTCACACCAATAATCAATTTTTAAGATAGAGTATTAGTATAGGGCACACTGCATTTCTGAAGACAGAAGTAGAACAAGTAGATATGGATAGCGGTGACGGCTGCACAGCATGAGGGACAAAACCAATGGCCCCTGAATGAGACACGTGACGTACAGTGGACTGGCAGATATAGTATGGCCATATCTATAGCTAAACAAAAATGTTAATTAATCCTCAGAGCGCTATAGGTTTTGTGACCTTGAAAAGGTGGGGGGGGGGCAGGGTGGCATTTTACAACCAGAAGATAAACAGAGTCTTTATGCATTGTCAATATTGTCCATTAATGGGAATGACTTTTGATATCATCCCATGTAAGGGCAATGTGACAATCCAAACCTCCGGCCCTTCCAGACTGCCAGGCCTCTGGCTCTCGGGTATCCCTCATGCAGCGCATCCACCCCCACACCCCCCCAGGGCCGTAGGGTTAGAACAATATTGATGCCCCCTGACCTGTACATTTTGGAAAAACAAAGGTTTTTTTCTTCACCTGTGTTCCTCCGGGGCCCAGTCAGGCCATATCCACAGCCGGATTGGATGGAGGCAAGCGTTCATCTGCTCCTGTGTCCTCTGTGCTGCCACTAGCCTGGCCCCACCAGCCCCACTCGGCCTATTGATCCACCTGGGCCCCAAAGGCCACATGCAGCACTATGTCTTGCCTCAGTCACTCCAGATAGGCTCTCTTTAGCTAAACAATTATTCCTGTGGTGCTGGGAGACTGTGGTGATGGGGGCCCGTGGTGCTGGCGGTCGGTGGTGACAGGGGACTTCGGAGAGGCGCGACGATGGTGATGTCAAGAGAACAGATGGAACCTCCAATTAGAATGCTTTAAAAGGAAACCCTCATGAGAATATAAAAGCCAACAAATTGACTTTTTCATACAGTACTTGCTGGTACACAATAAATCAAATATATAACAAGCTCCATAAAACAATAGGTTCATTTACCCTTGTTTTGCCTAGCACGGTGCTGCAGCCCAGCACTGCCCGCGGGGCCCTTGCCCCACGCCCACCCCAGCAGGCCCGGCGGCACTGGCCAATGCATCAATGGGCTCTCGGACTAGGGTCCCACAGCCCAGTGTGCCTGTGATGGCTACACACAGAGTGTGGGAAGTGTGATGCCACTGAGGGAAAGGGGGGACATCGTGGTGGGACCACATGGGCTGGGAAAGGGGTGTCTAAGCTCAGAGTCAGCCTGGCTAGAGACAGACAGATGGGAAAATCCTGCTGAGGTCTGGTTCGCATGAGGTGGAGTTAGAGTGAAGGGTGGGCAGTGAAGAGTGCAGGTCTTTTGGGTGGAGATGAGAAACGTGGGGATATTCCTGTATTTCCTGCAATCCGTCCTATTGTCCACACACTTCGGATGAGGCGTCTGAAAGATCACCCTGGAGATCTAGAAGAGTGGTGCTGGAGCAAGGAGGGCAAGCTCCACGTCAGAGTTCTGAGAAATTGGTTTTGGTCTCCTGTTAGCAAGTGTCTACCCTAAATATAGGGAGAGAGATGAGGTTTCTACTCCCATAGAGATTTATAAACTCAGAAACTCACAGGGCAAGTTCTACTTGGTCCTAGATGATCCCCAAGAGTCAGAGACAATTCGATGGCAGTAAGTGGGGTTTCTTAGCTCTAAATACAAGGAATACCGAGGAGAAACGCCTGGGATAAATTCACCTTCAGAGCCCTACGGAGGAATCCACATGGGCGGCCAACACCTAGAGTCTGGATTCTCTGTCTCTAAAACTTGGAGGTAACACATAATAGTTTCTCACAAGCCACCCAGGTAGTACTTTGCTACAGAAGCCCTATGACAGGAATCTCCTTCCCTTCCCTCCAGGGGGCCTCATCCAGGGATGAGGCACTGGTAGGGTGTGTCTGCTGAAGAAGGGGCCTGGAGGGCCCAGCTGAGGTTTGCACAAGCAGACCTGTCCAGTGAGCCTGAGCAGAGAGAGGGGAGCCACTCAAGGAAGTGAAAGGAGTGTTCATGGGACAGAAGCTGTGAGACCCTGGGCACCAACATCTGCAATCACGGAGGGCGTCCTGGGTCTGCGTACGCGCAGGCAGCAGTGACTCAGGCCCTGTACGGAAGGGGAGTCTAAAGGAAGTGTATTACACAATGCTTTCCAGGGTCGCAGGACACTCCCAGGGCAATCTCAGAAATCAGTGGAAGAGACACCACAACAGAAAACCAGGAAGTCCAGTTGACGGAAATGGAATCATTTCTGTTCATATCAGCTCGCCAGCAAGAGAGATCTGGGAAAACTCCGTTCACAAGAGGATGAGCTTTTCCTCAGTTCAGGTCTCTAAACATTGATCGAGCTCAGGCCCTTGATCTAGAAGACACCTTCAGTCCTTCGCTTTGCTGGCAAAGGCGGCACACACTGCAAGATCAGAATTAAGGAATTCTTCCACTTGCAGTGCGGCTGTTTGTTCTGTTCATCCAACTGCAAATGTGCATGAGGCACTCCGTGTTCTGTGCTGCAGATAGGAGAGGCTGTGGAAGGGATTTGGCCCAGGGGGTGGAAGGGAAAGTTGCTGCTTCCAGTAATCCGGCAGCAGCACTGAAGCCAGAAGAAAGCCCTATCAGCAGTAGAGGTTAGCCGGGGACAGCGACACCTAACACAATGGAGCACTGCAAAGGAAGAGCTCTTTATCTTAGGGAGTAAACGTATAGTGCAGGGAGACGGGTAACCCCTGCCTCCCTCCCCACGATTATCAGGGAGAAGACTGGGAGAAATCTCTTCTTCGCCTTCCATATCACAAAGTGGAGTCAGAGAAGTCACATTGTTGTCGGGATGACTGCCCTTCCTTCTAGAGCAGAGAATGGGAGAGAGAGTCCTGGGCCTCTAAATGCTCTGCCTAAGAGAAGCACAGTGTGGTCAGGCCTCTGGTCTTGTCACAGCCATAGCACAGGAGCGCCACCATGCTGGGAATTGGAAGGGACGCACAGAGTCAGCAATAGGGTACACAGACTCCATCCTCCTCTCCAATCTGGTACCTGAGATAAGGCAAGTACAGATTAACTGGATGGTGGAGAAGGATGAGTGCTCTGAGGGAAGTACCATGGCAGAGGTATAGGTCTATATGAAACTCAGAGAAGGAAGGACGTTCTCAGCTGCAGGGGCCCTAGGACGCTTCTTCGAAGGGGTGGTTGAAACAGTTACTAAGAATCAGCGCGATATCCTTGAATTTTGCATATCAAGAATTCTCCAGGCTGTCACTTTGCCCTTTGGTGAGAATACGCTGTCTTTTGTGGGTGAGAGGAAGGCCCTTCCATCTGGGAGGAGGATGCAGAGAGAACACCGTCCTTACCCTGTGCTACTGACAGAGCAGAGAGAAGCCCTGCAGCCCAACACAGAAAATACCGAAAGGCTGTCCGGTTCAGCACCATGGCCAGAGCTTTCATGCTTGCTGTGCTGCTTTCTCTACCATCTTTCCTGCCCCAGTCCTGGAACCAAATACCCAAGCCCAGAGACCCCAAGACTTACTAGTGCAGGACACTTCCGGAGGGTCAAAGTCGGCTCGGTAATAGCCAGTCCTGCAGGTGCAGATGGGAGATGCCTCCGATGGGGACCGGCTGTTGGAGGGGCAGTGGGAGCAGCCTTCAGCTTCCTGGTTGGCCTTGAATGTCCCTGCAGGACAGGCTGGAACACAAAGAGACCATTTGGTTATTAGAGGGAGGACGGTGGTCTGAAGCCCTTCCCTGAAACTAGAAAATGAAAGGTCTGGATTAAAAAGGACCCCAAGATGCCCATTTGTCCCAAGCAAGTACCACAAATTGAGGAAACCACTATTTAGATGATTCTTTGAAAAGATGCTCAGTAACATATACCTTCTGGGCTCCAGTGGGATTTTTCACTTGAACAATAAGCATAATGGTTCTACTCTTTCAGGTATGTAACAATGAATCTAAGTATGTAGTTCGGTGCCTGGGACCTAAGTGCTTTCTGCTGGTTTAGAGCCTGGACCCTCCTCTGAACTGCTCGCTGAGGTAAAACTCACTTTGAGTACTTAAGATGGAAAAAGGTCCTGGTGGCAATGGCTAGTCCCATGGCTCTAAATGCTTTGTTGTACTACAAGTGAGAGACACTCTAAGATCTATTAACAAGTACTTGCTATGAATGATAATAAAGGACTGAAATCCAGGATGGATTCTTTTTAAAGAAATAGAAGTGATTTCAAGGTTGCTGCATGAACATTAACAACACCATTCTTCCTTAATTGCATTTTGATATGCTTGGGGTGGTGGTGGAATGGGTTGGGGAGGAGCAAAGAATGGATGGCATTTCAGGGAGTGTCCCAGGGAGTGTGTCATGCACTTGATGTCATCTATCCTATCCATGGCTGTGGAGAAGGGTGGGAATACCTGGTACAGTCCTATCTTGATGCCTACGGAATGTCCACTCAGAAGGAGTGGCTCCTGCTGGCTCCCAGGTGGGTCAGCTTATGAAAGCCCACGCCCTGCGAAGTCCTTGAGACTCCTCCCATGCTTCATCTACCACAGAGACTTTCAACTCCAGATAGCTTTTTCCTGTTTACCTTACTTCCCCCCAACATCTCTGCCCGAGTCTCCCCTGTCCCCATGAAATCTGCCCTGGCTTGTCTTCTTTTGAGACTGGGTAAAGCCTGCTACCTGGTCATCTCATTTGGTTTTATTACACCCCTCTCTAATTCATTCAACATCTGATGGTAACATCCCAAGCAGTAAAGCAAGTGTAGTGCTGGCTCTCATGGGTAAGGTCATGTGTCCACTTGACCGGCCCGTGAGTCTTAGTGGTTAGCAGTTATATCAGGGTGTCAGTGATCAATTATGTAATGATGTAATCATTCTCCATTATGCGATCTGATGTGTCATCCTCCACTATCACATAGTGTTCATTTTTGCATAACAACGTAGATTTCAAACCTAGCCACCTTGATAAGTGAGTGTACCTGGAAAGTGGCGAATGTTCTTTCATAACAGTCATACCCACCATCTGTTAGCACGTCTTGTTAAGTACTTACATGCATTACTCTATGGGCAGCCATTATTATCCATTTGGCTAATGAGGAAATTGGGGCATAGAGAGGTTACAGATATTTCCCAAGATTACATAGAAGGAAAAATGATAGTGATGATATTCATCTACTTGGGGGAGAAAGAAATCCACGACTTATGTGCTGAAACAGAAGGAAAGGGCTGCTTCCTCTGCTGTGAGTGTTTTCTCAACCCACTGCTCAGTTAAAGCCAGGCATATGGTCCCCTGCCTCTGGAGCACGAGCCCATTGTGGACAGCAGGCAATCTCAGAGATGGAAAGTTCTGGAACGGCCTTCCTGGGGTGTGCTCCATGGAGGCCGTGTGCTGGGAGCTGCTGACGCCTGGTACTCACAAAGGCATTCTGTAGTCAGATCTATCTTGAAAATATGGTCTGAAAACTTTCATCCCAGTACTGAGAGCAGAAATGGCAGAACCGATGTTATTATGCTCATTTTAAAGAATCCAACCAAGGAATCCTGCCTTGAAGGGAACTGCCTGAAGTTTGCATTCTATGGGAGACACCAGGGGGGATGCCTACATGATCGTTAGGTTTTTAAAGAATTCTGTCATAACCCATCCCAAAATGAGTGATTTTCTCAGCACATCCAAAAAAAACCCTTTACTATGAGGGAAACACACACACACACACACACACACACACACACACACACACACACATGCACACCCCTTTACTACAGATACAGACTCAACAAATAAAATGCCCCAAAGGGAAACCATCGCATGGCATTCCCAAGGCCACTAGAACATTCAGTAGCATCTGCCCCTCTGTTTCTGGGCCCCTCTCTCTTCTTCACCTTCTCATATACCTTCCTTCATCTCCTGTGAGAGGCCCGTGACCCTTTCCATAGTAAACGACCATCATCCCTGGACCCATTTAGTTCTGGAACCGGTAAACACGCAGCAGCCTCATGCCTGTGCTGTCCAAACACACCCGTTTCCTGGAAAGTGGGGGAGGTGTGTGGTGACAACTCATGCATTCATATTTCGTCGCTGTCACACTGTAATGTCTCAGCCCAAGAAGAACCAGGCGATTTCACTTTATCCCCATACTTAAAAGCCTCCTCACTTTACATTGAATAAGTTAACAGCATAAACAATCATCCTGAGATCCCCAAGTGGCAAAGGAACTGGGAAATTGTCTCCTTCTGAGGTTTCTGAGGGAGGAGGCCACTCTGAGCCCCCGAGGGGAGGGGAGGAGCAAGAGGGGATGGATCCAAGCTGGGTTCTGGAGAGAGAAGCTCAGAGGAAGGGGGGAGGGAGTGGGCCTCAGAGCGCTTCTGCCTCCGGCCTTCCCAGAACAGAGATCAACGGCAGAGATCAGACAGCTCTGAATCTGCCTCCTGGCTTTCCCTGGTCCTAACTAGCTGACCACTGGTAAGCCACTGCTGAGTCACACAATCTTTTAAGGACTCAGTGGCTCATTTGTACAGAGGGTCTATAAAAAGAAACTTAGAATTATCTCCCCCAGGTTGTTAGAATCTAACTCAGAGGAAAACGCTCCTGGCATTGCTATGTGCTAAGTAACTACTAACTCCTCACCACCCACGTCTACTCCATTCCCTTGGGAAAAACAAGTTTGCTTTCCTGTGGATTTTGAATCTCAGGGATGGAATATGAAGTTGGAGACCTAGGGGGGTGTCTTCAATCCAGGCAGATAAAGCGGATGCTGAAGGAGAGACTGCGTTTCTTCATAGATCAGTTTGCATAAGGAGTGAATCAGTATCTCTAGGAGATATGCATCTACCTGTGTTTATGAAATGAATGAATTTCCTTAAGAGTCAGATTTAAAAAGTATTTAATTGACTAAGTTCTGTGTCTGGACATTCCCTAATTTATACAGAAGCCGCATCCTTAAGTTCAGGTATTAAACATTTAGTTTGAAACTTGGAATCATACCTGTGCAGTATGTTCTTATCAAGCGGATGCTTTAAAGCAGCGGTTCTCAACCTGTGGGTCACGACCCTTTGGGGGTCGAATGACCCTTTCACAGGGGTCGCCTGATTCATAACAGTAGCAACATGACAGTGATGAAGTAGCAACGAAAATAATTTTATGATTGTGGGTCACCTCACCATGAGGACCTGTATTAAAGGGCCGTAGCATTAGAAGGTTGAGAATCACTGCTTTAAAGAAAAACTGGAGTGCCAGGCCAGTTCACTAGCCTGTCTTTGAAACCGTGCATCAGACTACCACTTCAGTAATAAGAAAAAGAGGGAAACAATGATGCTCTTTCACTGGAAGCTTAACAGCATAGAACACTAAATAAGAAAACTATCATTTATTTGCCCAAGTGCTGTCCCTTGAGAAAGCAGCTTTAATTAGAGGTGATTCATGCAGCTTCTGCGTAGAAGCTGACAGAAAACATTCAGGCAAAGGAGCAACTGAAAAGGGTTCAAGACCAGGTAGGCTAGTTGAGGCTGCATAGCAGCTTGGAAGACATAGAACCATCGATGTGGGGGATTTGGGCAGGCTAGAGATGGCATGCCATGCGTAAAGGCTCTGTGGCTTCAAAAAAATATTAATTAAACATCATGATAGCCTGACACAAGGCACCTAGACACCTTCGAGCCATGCCAGGGTGTGTATCCGAATGCTTTGTTTGGAGATCATTTCAAATTCTGTGGTTGCCTCTCGAATGGGCCACCCAGGGTGTGTACTGTTTGAGGGAGTCCCTTGTGAGATGAGGTCATTAAAATAAACTTCCTTATGGTGGCTGGGAGAAAAAAAAACAGAAGGAGCTGGAAAGACCGTGGAAGCAGGGTGGAAGAACACAGGGATCAGGAGGGAAATTAGGTCAGTGCCTGGCTCAGGCTCAGAATCTCCACTGGAGAGCTTCATTACCATTCCAGGAAGCAGGAGGGGAAAGGAGAGGCACGTGTGTCACACCTGAGACCTTGTCAGGGACTGCCCTTAACGTGGAGGCTGCATGTTTCTGGTCGCGCTGCCTCGCTCTGAAGACCACCATCCTCTTAGTACATGGCGAAGCTTCACAGAGCCCAGGCATCAGAGTGTCACCCCCACCCCCACCCCTCCGCCGCGGCAACAGCAGAGGAGGCCTGAGTGTCCCAGCCTGAAGCTTGAAGGCGCTGAACTTACTCCAGGCAAGACGCACACCATTTCCCTCCCCCTTTAAGTGACAAGGGCTGGTACATGCTCGCTTGAACTGATGTTCAAAAGGGCACCTTGAAACGCCCACCCAACTTGTCAGAGCCTCGGCGATGTCACAAATTACCTGGTGCCGACAACGCTCCCGAGGACGCCCCCTCCTCTCCCGTCCCTGCACAGAGACCCCCAGAGACACTAAATCCATCACCGACAGTACTATTACTTTATAAAGAAACAGATTAAGTGTCTCATAAACAGCGCAGTAATTGAGATAATGGAAAGCGCCCCTCGTCCACATCTGCAGCATCAGGTTATGAAGCATTTCCAAGCAGCCAGGAAGAGGAAATTAATAGCAGCAAGAGGGAATAACCACTTTTATGCAATTTCCTCAGGAGATAGTGGACCATCTAATCTTTATTGGAGCCCTTTAACCTGTCACTCAGCGCTCAGCGGCGCCTCTACGGCTCCCACCATTTTTCTTGATAGCCACGGAAGATAAC